ATTATTGAGCAATCGTTAAGTATCCATATTCTTTTGCACGACGCAGACTCCTTCCAACCATATTCAAGTAACGAATAGTTATCCCGAAGAACTTTTGGCAGTATTGTATTTTAATTTCTGTTAAATTATCTTGTGAATCAAATTTATTGCAGTGTGTGTTCGGATATCCCATCTATGTGTCAACATCTATGATGATCTCGGTAGTTATGAATGTCTGTTACTTTGAATTTCAGAAATGTCCGTTATTGTGTTTCCAATTTCAAAAATATCATTATACTGCTATGCAAATTCAGCTAACAGAATTGGTGTTGCTGATAATATCTGTATACGTTAGAGGTATTCAAAGGATTGCATATTTGAATCAAGAACAACTATTGAAATATGTCGAAATTCGTAAAGGGAATCAGACCAATAGTCACAGCGGTGTCTAAACAATCGTTTTTTTTTTTTTTTTTTATAGAATAAGCGTCTTACGCGCTGATTAAATGGTCTCTATCGGTGCCAATTATGATTAGCGATCGGTTGATAGCAAGTAGTAAGAGTCGGTAATCTCACTGCGCGAATATTCTGAGATGTTGAACATCGTTGGGCCGAGGTTGGGCGCGCTGTATTATCGTGTATCTCGGGGTGGGATTACGGTGGTGGTGGCTGGTGGTAACGTTGGTGTGGTGGTGGTTGCAGATCACGGGCTTGATGAGGCAGAGGGCGCGGCTTACCACCACCACCACAGCCATCACCAGCAACATCATCGGCATCGCCATCATCATCCACTATCCGTTCCTCCTCCTCACCATCGTCATCAGACGCCACTGGAAGACGACCCATCAATCAATCAATCTTCCACCACAGCCACGACGACGATTACTACAACCACCAAGTACCAGCGCAGCCAGCCACAAGACTTCAGGCAGCAGAGGTTGCTACGCGAGCATCACCGTCAGCACGGTTACAAGTGTCCCCTCTGCTGCAGAACATTGCCAGATATCAGTACGATGAGGACGCACTTGGATCATCATTATCCTAGAGACTCGCCCACCTGTCCTGTCGCCTCCTGCGCCAAAACCTTCTCCCATCCCAACAGTGTCAGAAACCACATGCGACTGAAGCATCCCGTACAATGGGATCAGATTAAAACCTTGAGGTGGACCTATGTCTGATGAACAGGCAAGGATCAGTCCAACTCTGATCACGGGTCGTAATTATAATGTTTCCCAAAAGAACTATCGCCAAAGAAGCGTTACTTTTTGTTTCCCGGTGTGGTTCCGAAATTTCCCGTGTGGCAACTGCGTGGCGGTAATGAGCAGGGATCTCCGCAAAAGAACGTCCGTAACGCTTCAGGTTAAGTTAAGTGCTGAAGTCTGTACGTAACAATAAACTTAAGTCAACGCACAAAAACAATCGTAACGTAACAAAACCGTGATTGTATGTGATCAGGTATCTCATTAAGCGGGATAGTACGAAGTATATTTCTTAATATATACTTCGTATATATATACTCATGTACTCGATACGAGAAGTATATATCTCAAATATTTTATAGAAAAAAGGAGATTGGAACAGAAATATATTTAATTTATTAAATTAATATCTTATACAAAATTTTTATTGCTTTTTTACATTGTTTGGTTATTTAATTAATGCAATAATTAATTTTAAGAAACGTCAGAAAAAGTTTATAAAAATTTGTATAAGATATTAATTTAACAAGTTAAATATTTTTATCAATCTTCTTATTATAAAAGTATTTTATATACTTATCTCGTACATGTGTGTAATAATACATCTGATCACGCAAAATTACACTTTTGTTATGTTACGATTTTCTTTGTACGTTGACTTAAGTCTACTATTACGTATTTCAGTTACAGACTTTAGTTTACGGTCAGTACTTAACAAAACTTAAGCGCTACGGATGTTTCTGTGCGAGGGTTTAAACGGTATAATAGATTTCAACCACGCTTCTTTCGTATAATACAAAAAAATCAACCATTGAGCTGCCAAAATTCTTGGGTGTCTATAATAGAAGGATCCATTTACTTTGAATTTTCGTTCGCAAATATCGTTAAAGTGAAGACTGTTACTCGGTAGGCATTAATTATATACACTCTTGTGCATCAATCGACAATCATTCCCCATGCAAAAGAATTAGGCTTGCTCATTTCAATAGGAGCAAATGTCGAGTTAGAAACAAATTAAACTCGTTATCGCCTCGCAAAGATTACTTTAACCACGAACGCGTTGGAAGAGAGTCTGGTCGATGGAGATTGTATTCTTTATTAGTGCTGTCAGTGTAACTCGGATATTTCTATACTCGTGTACTATCTGGGTACCCGCACTCGCGGGTATTAGTCGTACAAATTAGCAAATAGTTATGAGTACGCAACGCATTCGTTTGTTATTTGTTATTCTGAGATTATTTTATGTATTCATGAAATGAACTTTAGCCATACATTGCTAATGTGAGAAGACGTATGGACTAAAGTTGCTTTCTAAAAAATAAAATAAGCTGTTTGGCCCGAATAGGCGTGAAACACCGAAGTTAACATATTCGAATGATACACGAAAGATACGGGTATTCAGATAAAGTCCGTAAGACTCAGAATATCCGAATATTTGAGTAATATTCAAAAGACTTGACTACCCGAGTGTTTGACAGCACTATTCTTTGTAGCACAATTCGCAACTTATCGAGATTTAAACGAATAGTGTCGATGACGCGACGTGTGAATAACGACCTAAGTTGAGCTAAGTTAAAAGCCGGACTGTCTTCAGTGTGCTTTATTTCGGATCTATCATTCAACCACCCACCGTGAGCTCTACCCCTGATGAGAAGCGCACATACTGTACATATGCGAGAGATTATATCGACAAAGGAGAGAAGAAAAAATCTATAAATCTCTATAAATATATAAATATATAAATATATAAAGAGATATACATAGAGTTGATTTTGTATAAAATGTATGAAGCAGTATTTCCTGTAGAGCCTGAAGCGTAGACGCCGTAGAATCAAGCAACACACACACACACACACACACATATACTCACACACAGCAGACAGACAGACACATCACAGCGACGTCGGTGTACGGTAACGACTAGGTTACGTATCTACAAGAGAAAACAATGTTCCTCTAAGCTGAGTAAGCCAGCCTTATGTTAAATAACGTAGTATTAAGAGTGTAGAAATCGGATGGGAACGTACACGCCGAAAACGGCGGCGACAATCGCGCCGATACCGAGCGGTCGATCGGCTGTAAAAGCTTGCTCTAGCGACCGACACGAGAGATTGCGAATTAGACGTGACGTGTTAGAAAGAGATATTGATTGCGTGTGACAGACGCGACACGGATCTTTCATGAGTGGGTGGATCACGCGAAAATACGTCGACCAGAGACGGTCGCTCGACAACGCCTAGCCTTATTTTTCTACAGTCTTGCGTTTTATCAGTATTCCCTAGATAAAAAGTCCCTAATAAGAGACATTACGTTCGAGACCGTGTACATTAGAACACGCCGCGAGTGAATACGACGAAGTATATTTATATATATATTTCTGCGGGTGTGTACGAGTTGTTAGTTGTGGATCTCGAAGGGACGTTTCGGCGTTGTGCGACATGCGCCATGGGAGAGAGATGCTCATACTCATTTACGTATATATTTCTCAAGTCAATTCAAGAGACTTAATCGATCGCGTTAGTTGACGATATCTAGGAGGATGGATTCCCTGAAGAAATCCATAGAGAATACGTTATATCGACATACCGTTGAAACCAGTGTTTACGCGGCATTGGTGTCTCCGCGAATTTTTCTTTCTTTTCGGTTAGGAATTTTAGAACTTTTTCAGTTTATTTATTATTGACTGTTTCATCATGACTGACAGCTCGTACGACGAACAATGTATAAAATACTATACGCATTATTTTAGCAGATATTAGCTTATATATATATATATACATACATATATATATATATATATATACATAAGAATATACGAAATGAAGTCTATACTATTTAAGTAATGCTTTGTACAATAAAAAGTATTCAGAGAAATCCGGGAGGAAATTATTTTATCCTCATCGCGTCATAGTGAGTATGTGATTGAGTTTGCGTAGGGAGTACAGACACAAACAATGATGTGTGTTTATTCTCGCTGCACTTTGATATTCCTATGAAAGTAGTACCTTCTTGCTCATCAGCATTCTTCATCGTTCGTATCCTCCTTCTCAGTCCACAGGATACCATCGTTTAGATGAAATTTTAGATACTATTATTTCAGTTCTTTTGCTTTTTCTCTGTTGTTTACTAAAACCATGCGTGCGCCTCGTGCATCTTATTTCTTTCTGATTCATAATTCTATGATGCCAAGTTATTCATTTAACTAACTCAAATATGCTTGCAGAAAAAAATATACCGAAATCTCTGAATATCTGGAAAACAACACATTTCAGAAAAAAATGTTACAAATAAAAGTTGTTTGGTATTAATTTATACTATTTTGGAAACATCTCGACGTCAGACACAAGAATATGCAATAAAAAGTATGAATATCCAGTTAAGATTGTGTTGTGTGGATTTTTATTTCATTTTGACACTACATATAAAGTCAAACTAAAGTCAAACTAAAGTGACCGCTAAATATATCATTTAATACCAAGCAACTTTCATTTGAAACCTTTTTTCTAAAATGTGTTGTTTTCGAGATATTCCATCTAACGTTTATACTGCACATAGAAAGTACATAGTAAAAAATAGAAAGTGATAATACGTGCATTGATGTCAATATATACGATATGTCCTTCAATAACAAATTCATGTTTATATAATTACCTTGTTTAATTGGTAATTTTCAAGTATGTTCAAAATATTGTGTTGCAATAATCAAGAATTACTTATATCAACCATCAATCGATCGCACGCATGACCCAATTTCATAATTTTTTCTTTCCTCAGAATGGAACGTGCAAACTTCTTTTTCACACAACGGTTGTCTATTTTCAGTTCAACGACGAGGTTTGGAATTGATGCGAGTGCGCGCCACAGACCCTCGGCCATGTCCGAAGTGCGGCAAAATCTATCGTTCCGCGCACACGTTGCGAACACATCTGGAGGACAAGCACACTATCTGTCCCGGTTATCGTTGTGTTCTGTGCGGAACGGTAGCCAAATCGAGGAATTCTTTACATTCGCACATGTCGAGACAACACCGTGGAATCAGCACAAAGGACCTTCCAGTATTGCCTATGCCTAGCCCGTTTGACCCTGAATTGGCTTCCAGATTATTAGCGAAGGCTGGAGTTAAAATCAGTCCCGCGGAATTAAAAGCTCGCGCAAGTCCAACCGGGCCACGAAGAGGTGACATAAGACTGGAAATGCCTCGTGGAGGCGCTTCTTCCGAAGCCGGCAGCAGTGTATGCGGCGGTGATGATCCGGAGGACCTAACTCTACCTCTCAGCCTCAGGTATGGTTCGCCGACGCCTAACAACAATACTGTTATCACTAAGGTAAGCGGCAGCGGCAACAGCAAGAACACCACGACGACGGCGATCGCTGCCAAGTCTCTCGACACGATGCATGGTAATCGCGAGGCCAACATGGCGCCGTTACATCCGCCCGGTCATTTCCCGGGTCACAATACTGCTAGCGCGACTGGCTCCGCGATCTTGGATACCTATCTGCAGTTTATCGCGGAGAACTCGGGCATGGGATCAATGACACTCAGTCCAGAGCAAGCGGCAGCGGCTGTTGCCCATGCTGCCAAGATGGCACAGATTTCCGCTATCGATAAGCTCGGCGAACGTATGTTGGAAGATTATCCAATAATCGGGAGAGACGAGGGTAGGGGATCCGGGCTCGTTCATGAGGACCGGCAGGATATGCTGCAAGGTAGGAACAGTGCACTAGCGGAAGGTGAGTCGTCAGGTGGAGAGGAAGAGGAGTTCAGCGATAACGACGAGCCGGAAGTAGTAGTCAAGACCAAATAGGTGGTACTGTGTGTTCTAAGCGAAACTACGTAAAAGAGGAATCACTGGTGTCGCTCGTTCTTCGCGATGCGCGAGAATCGTCACGCGAACCGAAGAACAGAGATACCGTCGCGCGGAGTCCATCCATTTGCGGACTCGATCGAGATTTAAGTTACTATATCTTGCTGTCGCGAACACGATGTTACAGCGCGGGTGATAAGTTTCCGAAAAGAACGACGAATATGGACAAGCTTGCTTGCCACGTCGAGCTAAGGAGCATTAAGCCATATACACATCTATACAGGGTCTCCAGTGACTAATGGGATAATCGAAAAGTGATGATTTTTTAGTTTAAATATACGATGTCGTCTGCAGGATACCGATCGAAATTGCGGGAAACATTTCCAAAAATAGGAGAAGAACTGCCATAGCAACAACAAGTGAAGCGATACAAGTAAAAAGTTAACTTGTATTACGAAAACGAGAGGATATACCGTCTTATTACATTATCCGCAGATGTATAATTGGATTGTTTACTGCGTGTGTTCTTTTATTTTAGTTTTTATTCTACCATCACTTACGGGAGATCCTGTATGTATAGTATATACACACACATACACATCCAGTCGAACACATAACGCGTAATGACACACGTACACGTCACAAAAAAATTCCATCCATCTACCTCAATACACACGATAAGTGATAGAGCAGGTCAATATATGAATCTCAGAAAACGAAGTAGAAGTACGCCGCAAAAGAGTAATTTTTGAGCATTGAGAGATACCGTGCAATGCAGCTTGCAGAAATCATGTCGCGACGATGACGATCGATCGACAAAACTGTCTTGCTTCTTTATTTGCGGAAAATTTAAGCGGCTGACAAACGACGAAAGAGTAGCATGGTGGGCATCGTTCACGACTTTATTGACACCATATATTCACTATATTATATTTTATTATTATTATATTATTATATATATAAATATATATATATATATATAAATGTTGAGGATATGCATTACTTAGATTTATAGAGTTTAGTATATGCACATAGGGCCAAACGAAACAAAAACATAAACATGCGCCTTAGCATTATGTTCTAGGGATGGAATCAAGTGCGTTTGCTAAGAGAATTCTAAATTCTAATTAGATAAGTTTAACTGGAACAGACCGAAAATTTCGGATAACTCATGAAAGTATCCGAACATTTAATTCGTTAAAGCAAATGTACGTAAACTTGTAATCATACAGGCGATATTATATAGACTATTTTTGCTTTGCATTTTTGCTTTGTAGTTCACAGAAAAATTGTATAGTAAACGGAAAAATTGAGGTACGCGTCTTCAAACTCTTTTTTTAACTGATTAATACTTTTATTTACATTAATACTTTTATTTACATTTTTAAAGAGTCTATATTTATTTTAGTTTTAATCCTCCTGTGCACAATACCTGCCTGATGGTATGCACGCGTAACGAGAAAGTAGCTGCAAATTGTGCAATATTTTAATTGTAATTAATAATATATGATATTTACCTGTGTCTGGCCTTTACAGCACGATTCCGTGCTTGATTGCAGTAAGTGCATTTACAAGGGAATGCAAATGCGCGTAAATTTATGAGTTCCATAAAAAGGTGCCTCTATACATTGAGTCGGTCGCGTCTCGCGGGCATATACTTTTAACTTGATCCCATCCCTATGCCATGCCGTACCTACGGAACACGACCGCACACGTGTACGAAAACGTATACTGCGAGGAGGTACACGCAACACCTACCGACTGCGCGTATCAACATGCGAGACAGCACGCGTTTAAGTCTCGTTGATCGCAGACGGCGATTTGTTACTTATATCTCATTTTTTTAGCAGCTGAAAAGAAACGAAAAAGAAACGGAGAAGTAATCTACTGAATGAATGCCATTTCGATATTTCCTTGGTCTTTCTTTTCGTCTCTTTTCTATCTTTTTCTTTTTTTGGGGGGGATTTTCCTTCATACAATCACCTATCTTCGATACGCGGAGATATATCTTAGGGCTTGCCATGACGTAGTACTTAAGTTTAGCACTCGAATTGCTCCCGTTGACGCGACGGATGTTAGGAGCAAACTCGGCCCTTTGCTCTTTCATCCTCGCAGATCGCAGCTGCGCGAAAGGTCGACTGAAATCGATCGTGCGTGCCGTGATAGGGGGAGTTAAATCGCGATCTTGCGACAAGTAGACGCCGCTTCCGGGCGTAGACGTGTTCGGGCGCTCGGTTCCACTGCTTTCGAGTGTGACACGAGCTGGGTACTTCTTTACTACTTACTACGTACGTACGTTTACACGTGGGTGTGCGCACGCGTGCGCGTGTATGCGATGTCTTTATAAACGGGGGTTCCTGAGGAGAACTTGCCGTTTTAGCGAGACAGTAGGAAAATTAACAATTGAAAAACTGGGCGGCGAATTCGCGCGCGATGCGGTATTCGGCATAGTTGTAAAATGGTTCCTACTAATATACATAATATGAGATAATTTCACCGGTAACATACTTATGGATATACACGTACATGATAATAATAGGTATGTAAGAGTATGTGTATAGGAAAGAAAGAGAAAGAAGGAACTACAACATAGCAGCAATATGTAGCAGCGTATTAAACGCGAGTTAAACAAGAGGGAAGTTTTTTTCGTTTCCGGCCAGTGTGTGCGTTGTGGAGAAGATGTGTCAGTATAACTACAATAATTAGGAATTTGAGTTTTGCATACTTATAGTTTGTAGGTTGTATACAATCTTCGGAATGTAATAACGATTAATTCTTAAGTGTATTATCGAGCACACGCGAACACACGTCCAGCGATCGTTTTGCGATGAATCTTTAGGCGAGCAATGCGTGTAAACGATACGTCCGACGAAAACGTTAAACTGGAGAAGATGAAGAATTTAAGCTAAAGAATCGAGGTTGGATCAAAACGCTAAGAAAGTGTCCGGTGAAGGATCATGGGAGGATCTGGGAGGACGCGAGGGGAAATGACGTTTTCGACGAGTGACGTCGAATCAAATCAAACTGTTACAAGGAGAATTCGTAAAGTCGCGGGGAAAATGGACTGGCTGGAAATTGAGAACATAAAAATAGCAGAGAGCGGACTTGATAGACAAAAAGATAGACAAATATCGAAGAAAGAGGAAAGAAAGGCCCGCCAAGTCTGACGACGAACAGCTACGTCGCGCCAGCCCCATCTAAACGCCAAAAAAGGCAAAAGACTCTACTCGCAGAAATTATTAATATTAATAACATAAATTATATTATATGACGATTTTAAAAGTTAAGAGGTATTTGGAGGAACAAGATCACGACGTGTGAAATTGATTAACCACACGCCCACGTCGGAACGCAAATACGTCACTTTTAAATAACTTAACGACATAACTGTAAACTTAATAACTTTAATGATTTTACTTTTTCCTAGCGACATAAGTCTCAGAATTCGTATTTGCTCCCTTGGACAATTATTCAATCGGTAATGCGTGAGTGAAGCGGATTTCGCACTGATTGCGCGTTCGATGCGCTGAATTTCGGGATGTTTGAGCTGAACATTGTATACGAATGCAACTGTGTATACGATTGTGACACTTGTATACGACGTACGCGCGAAAATCTAAAAAATGAGTGCGCGATAAAATCGCGGGCAGGCGGGTATTTATTGCTCGCGCCATGCTGTTCGACATCCATGGAGCTTTGTCCGTGATTTTTTACTACGGACATTGTTGTTAGCCGTGGTAATCCCCTTTTTTTGACGCGTCTGCCTCTCGGACGCGTCCGCAATTCGCGGTATATCAAGCCGCGGGGGCAGCATCCCCGAACGGAGATCGAAACGCGCAGCGATTCCGCTCTAGAGATGAGAAAAAAGAGAGAGAGAGAGAGAAAGAGAGAGAAAGGGAAAGTACAGGAGCGACATCGATCGAAAGGCAAATCCAGGTCTAATCGGTACAAAGAAACCACTTCTTGCCTTGAAGCTCTCTATTATTACGAAAAGAAGCAGGCCATTGCGCGTGAGTCGCGCCGCGAGGAAAGAAAGAGACGCAAATGAGAGAAGAGAGAAATGTAAAACGAAGGAATCTTCGCAGAGTACAAATTTATTCGCGGAATTAAACCTTAAAGGGCATTGTTACTGTAGAAAGTAAAAGCTACGAACCGAGGGGAAAAGCCGCGGACGTTCGTACTTTCCGTCTTGCGCTGAACACGCTGTAGAAGTCAAGTAATGTGATCACAGACATGCACGTTATATATAATACATATTATATATAATATACATATATAATACATATTATATGTAATACATATATTTACACGTACAGCACAAAATATGTATTCACTAAGCATTTTTGTACTATGTACATTATTTCATGTCATTCTACGCGAAAGCGCGTCACGTTGAATCACGGTTTAAAACACCGGAAACGCTGCATAAACTTCTCATGATTTTTTGACCATTGAAACGTTTTCAGCATCACACGGCGAGTGCGAATCTACGCGATGATTCTAATGAGAGGCCGTCTGAGAAAGCTAACGATTTAAGTGCCGCGAAAATATAGTAATTATGTAGATCGCAAGAGAGACAAAGAAAGAGAGAGAGAGAGAGAGAGAGAGAGAGAGAGAGAGAGAGAGAAAGAGCGAGGAAGTGAAGAAACAAAAATAGAACTCAATCGTTCGTTTCGTGCCATTACGAGACCACGTTAAAGTCGATCATGAACGCACGTTCCAACGCACATCGTGCAATGACCACGAGTCCTTCACTCGATGTGCCGTTGCGAACAAGCGCGTCTGAGATCGTCGAAACTGGCTAGAATGACAAAAGTCGCGGCGAATCTGACGCGCGCGATGTTATCGTCGACAATTAATGATGATCTCGTCGATAAGTTTCGTTCAATTTCCTCTTTTCACCTAATGATAAAACGGCGACTCGCGCAGGGTCCACTTGACATACATGTAACATACATACGCGACATACGCATACAGAATTAACTTTTGCGCATGTGAGAGACGCGTGTACACATTATGCATATTTTACAATCCACATATGTACATGTAGAAGAGCGGTTGGCGGGGTCGGATCCGTTTATACCTACGAAAAAATCCGCCTTCCACTCTCCCCTCTCCCCAACCCTTCCACATAGCAGATAATAGTTTCTTACGACAATATTTATACAGTTATATACAGGATAGTGTGTACAGATGCTTAATATATATATATATATATATACATATATATATATGTGTGTGTGTGTGTATATATATATATATATATATATTTTACATATTGCACATGTAAAATATATATATTTGCACGAAAGAGGTCCCGAAACCCGGTATGACCCCGCCATCCTCTACTAACCCTTTCGCCGGGTCAGTCCCCACGTTGTCATAGTCCATTGATCATAGTCCGCAATAGTCATCTCGAATAATACCACCAATTACAGTATTGCAATAGCTTTTAGAGACAATCGTGTGTGTAAACTGTATAACGCTCCCGGCCGGCGCAATTGACATCTCGGCAAAATCATCACAATCGTTACGCAAGAACACACGCTAAACACTCTCCGATGCATTTCACTGCGCACCAAACTGTTTGAGATGCACGCGACATTACGGATTTCTCTTCACAGGAAGTTCTTCATCCTTCAAGAGGGATGCGGTGAAATACAGCAGAATTTTTGTGTCTGTCATCTTCTCTTTCACTTAAGTATCTGTTCTTTTTGTTTTGCCGCGAGAAAAAATGTTCGATATTTCAAGCAGAAAACGAGAAAAGAGATATTGATTGAAAAATTATGTGTAATTTTAAATGTCTATCCTTTAAATTAAATCGCATTAAATCGATAATCCTCCTTAAGTGGCTTTGGAAACTTTCAGACAATTGGCAACTATTTCTGTTTTTTGTGTTGCTAGAATGTAGTTTATTGCGCTCGTTCAACTTTTCACGTGCTGCCTGTACCACTCACAGTCTTCAGTTCATCAACTTCAGCCTCGATTGGCAGACATTCATCATTCTATATTCTCGTGTAAAAATCCCAAAGAAGGTTCAGCAAAACCTTATAATAGTCACAGCTCACCAAATCTCACGACTACTTTGTGTAGATTACAACAAGATTCACAATAATACACTTCAATGACTGACCCAACATCTCTTCATCTCAGTATATCTCGTGAAACGTTCGAGCCATTACTTTCGTCTCGATTATCAAGTTTCCATCGTCAAAAAACGCGTGTGACCAGTTGCTCAAAGAGATATCGCAGATGACGAGTTTAGCACTCGCTCTGGAATAACTGACCGCGTTTTCCGACTTATCGGATTTCGAGGAGCGAGTGCCAGAGCCGATACACACATTCTCCAGAATAAGTTTCTAATTTAAGCTCCTCATGGTACTCCGACGTTCGGTATTTAATTCAGCGGATATGCAAACAGCTGTGGCGCTTGCACGCAGTAACTCTTGAGGATCGATCGAATTTCCAAAGCGGCGCCGTGTAAAAACCCTTCGCGACCGTCTGTCGCTGCCTGCAAGGGTGGCCCGTCGTTGCGGGGTTTTTCGTGTTACACGGCGGAAGAAGGAGTTAAGGCGCACGTTGTTAACTCACGGCGAAACGACGGTAACGATATCGGTAACGACCGGGGTCTCCGCTATCGGCGATAATAACGCGAGCGAGTTGGAAGCTCGTAAAGGCCCCTCAATCGGCCGAATGTGTGCGTGCGCGCGCGCACGCCTCGCTTCCACGGTGATTATAAAGGCGGATTAACGACGCCATAAACGCGGTGAGCCTTTTACGAACTGTCTGGCCGCCGCTCGTTCGAATCCGAACGAGAGCGAGCTGTTCGAGATGCAAATACGAACCCACCGCGAGGATGGACGCGACTTTTTCGCAACTCGCCGACTTCTACCAGAGTATCCATCGATTATCGCTGCCGTGTCCGAAGAAACGCGAAAAACTAATAGTCCCCTGGAATTTGTTCGAGCGTAATCCGAGTTAAGTCGCCTCGCGCGAGAAACGTGAGACGTAAATTCGGGCTCAGCTCGCGAAGAATCAGTCGGGCGAATAGTGAGGATGCGCGTGTGGCCGGGAGCGAACCGCTGTCTCAGGTACTTAATAACCAACACGATGTAATAATGCATTATGTAAATGTAATAACAAACTCAGGAAATCTGAAGCAGCCAGGCCGTGATACTATACTTATAGAGACTACTACTACTACTACTACTACTACTACTATTACTGCGAGTGTGATTCTTGCGTTAATCTGGCGTGGGCAACCCGCGTCTCACCTGTTTTAAGCTGTTTAATTTCGATTGTTTATTTTTTATTTGTTACAAGATTATCCGGTCGAAAATGACTAGGCACGCATACATCGTGCATGTCGACGCGCGCGCAAATTCATTCGATCGTTTTATCTGTTTGACGAATGTATAATTGAGTTGAGCGGTTTCGATTAGAGAGTCGAAAACTATGTTGTATACATATGCATGATTATAATCTGTGCGTTATGGTTTGTACATTGTAAGCTGTAACGTCTGACTTGATTGTATAAAACCGCAAAAATGTTTGAGTTGGTTTTTGTGCTTATTTCCGATCACATTTCTTCAATGGCATTGCACATTGTTATTATTTTTCTTTGTGTAAACTATTAACGTTTCTCATGCGGCTTAATTTTATAATTCAAAGTTAATTGTTTGAAAGAGCATTAATTATTTTATTTTCCGTTTTAATCGTAATGAAAGACGAGTTTTAGTATCTATTGAGTTAAGTAACTTTCCAATAGCATTCAGATCCTTTTAAATAAAGGAAATTATCACGTTTTATTTTCGATACAATTAAAAATCGTTACACATGATACGAAAAGGATGAGATAGATTTTTGCGCGCGCACATTTGCAGAGAGGAAAAACAGAAAGGGAATAATTGTGAAATCACCACAGCTACCTCCATATTATTGAATATCAGTCTTCTTCTCGCGCTATACTCACGCTCATACGCATACCATATATTACTTCATGAAAATTCGTGCGTCAGTCGCGAATTAACTCTCTGTAATAAAATATATATTATATACATATATCATGTATACACGATATTTACACATAGTCACACACGAGGTAATGTAGCTTCCACAGATTTAGGTTAAGGGATTACCTCCTTGCACGGAACGCAGTCGAGCGAATATAAATAATGACGAATGAACGGATCAGTAATTTATAAGTTTCAACGATCGATTCGCGCGTGTTTTTCTAAAACATTCTTCGCAAAATTGCACGATAATTCTTGATTACGATGGAATATAATTACTTTTATAATGACAATTTCGACCCACTTTTATACAGGACGAATAATTGAAAACTGAAATAGCTATACTAAATTTGAAAATATGAAAAAATAAGGATGTGATCTAATGTAATTTTAAGAGACAAATATGATAGAAGCAGAGAAAAATTTTCTTCTGAGGATTATTATTTGTTAAGAGAAATAAGTAAATAAAATTATTTTTCCATGGTTTTTCCAAGTAAGAGCTATTCTAGTGTGCAACATTTTTCCTAATCACGCAAAAACGGTTAAGAGAATAATTTTGCAACTGCTCTAATAGCTTAAAGTACAATTTCCGAGACAGAAATAAATATTCAATATAGTTATATTTATATCGGCAATCTCATACAGGTGACAGGTCCTATTCTAAACATGGGAAACAGGACACCAGGTAATGATAGGCAATGAGATTTCCGGCTAAGAGAATGGGGCTAAGGAAGCTTCTGTCTTGCTGATGTTCTCTTTGCTGTAAGGTGTACTCTCAAGGATTAATTGAGTCTGAAACATTTGATCAGGCGAGAAGCCTGCAAAGGTTAACAATCCTCAATAATCCTCACGAGACACCTATTGCTTGCTGAGACACCCATTGCTTGGTAGGATTAATGAGCCTCTGACAATGAGACATTCGTCTTAATGACCCAATGAGACATTTGTTAAAGTTTCTTTTTAACAAATGTATAATCGATAATAAAGTTAAATGTATATATACAACTATGAATATAATTAGATAACATAATTAAAACATATTTAAATATAAATACTGTAGATAGATATAGATAGATATAGATAAGAAGATTGTATTTACTTATATTTAAAGATTTGTAAGAAATTTATAAGATTTGTAAGAAATGTAGTTAAAAATAAATTTAGGGATTTAGAATTTAGGAATGATCTAGTTGAGAGATGGTACAGATAGAGAAGAAAATTCTACATGAGAGTTCTAAAACAGAGAATTTATCTTAAATAAGTTTAGAAAAAAGAAGAGAAAATATTGAAAAACACAATGTTATAGCATCGCCATGTAGAAAGATTAGGTACATCTCTTAGTGTCTCATTAACGTGTCACATCGAGTATATATACAATATACAAAACAAGTCTCCATCGGAAATCACTAAATATCGAAAATGCATATTCAGATTTTTTGTAAGTTTTATGAATGCGAGATAGAATAAAAAGTAGATCAGAATCAATATTGCAGCCACACAAAAACATAGTCTCGCCGTCATAGCAAAAATTATCTACAGATATGAGTAATTAGTTAAGATAGATAAATAAGTAACAAACATATGCGATATCGCATATGTTTGTTATTTAATCAATATAAAGAAAAAATTTCTATCTAAACTGGTGAAATGTAGCAAAAAAGTCTTTCTGTGGCGCCGATCTAGGTTAAAGCCAGTCACACTTCTTATAAAAACTAACTGTGGTAGGCAGAAAAGATCAGCGATGAAAGACAAACGACAATACAATTCTCACACCTATCTGGACTTACTTGCTTTTTGATATTGAAAGATATTGTTAGAATGCTGTTGCTGCCACAAACAGTCTTTTAGCAAATACAAAAAGCAGTGATAAATTTTGACTATGACATTTAGAATTCTACCTAAAGCAGCAAAATATTTTTTTGAGTGACAAATATCGAGAAAATGAAGTGAATGCAAGAAATACGACATAGAAATCATCGGGTATATTACGCGCGACAAGCTCCAATAACGTACGATTTTCTTAACAATAGTAATATACTGCTGCTGCTATGGCTAGTATTTCTCGTTGTTAACGTACACAATGACTGCACTTCAAACATGCATCTAGATGCACACGCACTTATTTCAGTTTTAGTTCATCTTACCTAAGTTTGATTTTAAACCAATCATGAGTAAGATAATTCCACCAATATTAATGTGAAAAACAAGAGCTTATCATTTTAAGTGAAAATGATCAAAAAATAAACTAAAATGTCTTTTATTTTATACTGTTTACAATTACAAACGAAATCGATAATACACATTTACGTTACCGTTTGCATCGACTTCGTTTTCTCGTATTTGCTTTAGTTTCTTATGAAACTTTACCAGAAGAGGCTAATATTATCTGAAAAAATAATTATGATTTAGGAATTAAAAATATTATGTACAATTGGAATTAGAGACATTGTATATGAGTCTATATATAAGTTATGATTGGACACGTTATTTTTTCAAAATTATCCATTATTGTCAATCATTATACGTAGTAACAAAAGATTTGTTTTTTATCGTTAAACTAGTGGACATCTATAGAATTTGAAAAGAAACAGGTTGAGACTTGATGAAAAAAGAGGAGAAGAGAACTAGTGCTATACAGTGCAGTCAGTTCAGAAAACAAACTTAATAGCTACCATTAGTGTGTTACTAAAAAAAAAGTAACACTCTTATTCAAAAATCGTAGAAGTAACCCAAAAGAGTTACTTAAGGGCAGTTCTATATTAGTTGCAAATCGCAAGATCGTAAGAAAATTTATTAATCAGATTCGTAAATTCGATCGTTCTTCTTACGATCAAAGAAGAATTGACTATGATTGATCAAGTTTATTGCAATCTTGAGACTTGCAACTAATGTAGAACGATTTTAAAAGAAGTAATAACGGTAGTAACGCGTTACTTTTCGATCCTGGCATAAGCACACATGTAATCGTATGTAATCTACCTAATTATAATGTGTGGCACTAAAAGTTTTTAAAATTGTGCCAATTGATCCATCTGATAATAACATTTAATAGAAACATATAAATGCTATTATATATTATTTCAGTGAAAAAACCATGGAACATGAAAAATTCGTAAATTAAATATCTTTATTCCGAAAAAGTTCTTTCTGTCATATTTGTCTCTTAAAGTTACACATATTATGTCGCTTCATATTTCTTTTTATATTCAAATTTTAGAAGAATTACTAAAGTATTCTATTTACTATAGATCATTCTTTGTGGCCTAACATCTAGCACTTGATTTACCTTTAAAATATATCAATTGCGATTTGCAAGCCGATTTCATCTTTTTTTGTCTTTTTGTCGTGCATTTGTCGCTTGTGCATTATTGCATTTCTCACAGCTATCGCGAATTCTATAAACGCTGTTATCAAACAAATGATCTCTTATACATTTATTCGTGATTGCCGCAGTTTCCATCATTTGTCATCGCAATTTCTATCAACTGCTAATGATCAATATTACATTGTGTTTTATTCGTCCTGTGCACTGGCCGTATAATCTTTCGGTATTATATACGTAAAATCACATCAGCGTTAATTGGCAATTATTTCACGTTAGCTTCCTAGAGTTAAACGAGCATTTCCAGTTATGAGCAACACACGCGAATAATCAAAGTGCTGTTCCCATTTTAGAAACGATCGTTCCGCGAATGCGATCGGAAACTTTCGGCTCGGCACGCGGCTCCAATCGCGCTTCACGAAAGGTGTAAAAACGATCTACCTCAACCGCGCACGATAGGTTCATTACAAGAACGTCGGATATATATACACCCATGTATATATACCGTGTCAGGTGTGTATCTCAGCTACGAGATGCACGACGATGCACTGCCAGGCACCATCGCGCTCGACTGCTCCGTGATCGACAGTGTTGAATTCCAAAATCACAATGCAATACCTTGTACTTACTATTGTTTTTACGAGTCGTGACACCGGTTAGTGATTTGTACCGTTGAATCGACATATGAACGAAGAGATCGCGTGAGTGTACATGACGAGGAACGAGAGAGAGAGAGAGAGAGAGAGGGAGAGAGAGAGAGCGAATGAATGAACGAATGTGTGTAATTTATTACGCGCTTCGGAACGAGAAGTCCCCTCAGTCGCTGGACAGAACGACGAAACATGTACATAAAAAAAGAGAAAAGAAAGATGGAAAAAAATAGAATCACAAAATCTAATAGCCTTACGTGGAAAGAGAAACGGCTGTTAAAGGAAGGCAGAAGACATGGATTTTTAACACGAATAGACATTCGTTAATAATAACGATGACGAGAAATATAATTTCTCATTAGATACAAATCAATGCCGGAAGTTTGTTCTACGTATCAGCGGCTGCATATGCAAAATTATGCTAACTGAGTTTCGTTTCACAGAGGAAGAGTAACAAGCTATTGAAGAAAAGAAAAAAACGATAGAAGAGAGAAGGAGAGACTTAAAAGGATATTTCCGCTTTTGAGTCCATCGCCATAAAAAATAAAAAAACTGGTAAAACAATTAATATTTTTTATATATACACACATACAATCGAATCTCGTCTATTAATTTTTCATAGTCATTTTCTTATATCAATTAAATGCCATCGTCACAAGTAGTTGCAGGACAGAGATAGGCAGACGATTGAAGGGAGGGAATAAAAGTAAGAATGAGTGAGTACGTGTGCTTACTATGCTATATTAGCATATTACATGCTATATATATATATATATATATATATATATATATATATATATATATATATATATACATACATGTACACATATATTAATTATACACATATTGGGGAATGAGAAAGAAAAAGCGAAAATATATCTATATACGTGATATTTTATGGGCAACATCATCAGGGATTTATCATAACCATAAGCATATACGCATAGTATCTTTCTAGTGATAAAGCGCCATAAATTCCTAACTTATTTTGTAACGCGTGTCAGATCTGACAACACGGTCGCGAAACCAATGAGTGTGCAATCTCGACGTACTCGACGTCGTTAGAACTTTGCGAAAACGATCGAGCGATACGTTTCAAGGATCTGTTTGGTAATAAGTGAGTCCGTACAACATTAAACATTAGATCGCAATCAGTTTTTTTGCGAATTTAGCGATTCCATTGGCATTTTCAGTGCGATACAAACAAATGTCTCAACTGAAACCGTTAGACTGTCGTTCGTGCAGCGAGTTCTTTGCCAAATTTTATTTTTATAGTAGCGTCTGCATTTCTTTCATCTGTGAATTTGGAATCATCTTTTCAACCACAACGATCCAAACAGCCGGTAAGATCATCCGTAAAATATTAATTAAAAACATTATCGATCCGGTTTTTATTGTTATCGACAGTCCGCATAATTTGCGTGAATCATCCGCTGTTATTTCGCTAGTTCCCGACGTAGTTTGCATATTGATTGTACACAAAACAGAGTGCGTGCGAGCGCGTAGTGTGTGCGCATGCATGTGTGTGTGTGTGTGTGCGTGTGTGTGTGTGTGTGCGTGTGTGTATGTGTGCACGCGTGTGCGAGATGTGAGATTGAGAAAGAAAGGAAGAACTAAAGAGAGTATACAAAAAATAAGGAAAGGCGGATCATTGTAATTACTGCGATCTCTTCGGAGTGCTCGTTCAAAATGAACTCGACATTCTCCAACATTAGTTACTATCGTTAAGGTGCTTCACTATTGTTGATGTTTTCTTCTTTTATTATTGCGGCTATTTAAGATTAATATTATCATTACTATTATTATCTATTTCGACACTCACTTATCTTTTTTTTGCATTTTTCTTTCTATTTCTTTTCCTTTCTATTTTATTTTTTATTTCTTCTAATAGAGCATATAAGAAAGTGCGTCTGTCTCGTTGTTTGAGAATAGCTAGGAAGAAATCTAGGAGGTGTTATTGACTCTCAGCGCGTACATTCGCGAAGATTTCCCGTGCGTCTTCTCCTTTTTTCTAGTTTTCTCAGTCGATTTTGATTTTTCTTCGCGGCGTTCTCACTCACCGAGACAGACGTGGTCATTAGATGATTACGTTACTATTAATCATTAGATTACGTTAAACATTGACGAAAAATAATTGACGTGAAACAGACGTGAACATGCCAGTACAGCGTACATCTTCGTTTTCCTTTCACTACGGAATTCTGCTCTTTTCCCCTCCTTTTTGTCATCCCTCCTTTTTGTAAATATCATGCAATCTATTTATCGACAGCCAAACGTTTCCTTCATCCCGTTTTATTCTCTTGAATACGAATATTAAAAACGTTGATTAAAAACCGTTGCTAAACATGCGTTAGTCAGCTGCTTGCATCAATGCGTAAGATCACAATCGTATAATGTAGCTATAAATAAGTATAAAAGTAAAAAAAGAAACATTAAGTTAAGACGAGTCGCAAATTGTAACAGCCCACATACAACTAAGTAATTAGGCAATTAACGGATAGAGACAAGATGTAGAACAAACATAAGCAAGAGTCAATTTAACAAAAGCGAATGTTTTACAGTGGACGACACAGTGGGAGCTAGTTCGGTATCTACTATTAGAGAGAATATATATAGTTACTGCATTTCTGTAAGAGGGTGTAGAAGGGCAACAAGGAATTGACATATTCACAATCTAGGAAAAAAGCCGGACTTGTTTTCTCTCAAGGATGCCTTACATCTCCCTCATCTTCGTTCTCCTCACATTGTACTGCGATATTATTAACGTACATAACATTATTATTTACGGTTAATTGCGTTACTATTTTCTTTAATTGATTTTATTTTTTTGCTATCCTTAGCATGTAAGAATATTTCTTGCCAAGATTTTAATAAATATGTTTGGAAAGAAGAGGTTGGCAGAGAGTTGTGTGTTTACTTGAGTTCCGTGTGCTTCTTTCATTTCCTTTCTATTCGTGCACGTTCGTTTTGCCGGGAGACATTCGCAAATGACAATTCTCCACGCGCGTCTTGTGTACGTCGAGATCTGCAACTCACCGCATCTAATGTAATCAGAGATTCGCCGGCATCATCGGGAGAAGTCTCGACCAAAGTACAAAATTTACCGTAATTAGGATTATACGCCTAGGAATGGGAGAGGCAGCGCATACTCGCGCTAACAAAAGCGCGTACCACTTGAGATTTGGTGTATCGAGCGATTTGAGGAAATTTTTCGAGGAAAAGGGGTAATTGTGAGGGTCGAACATCATCGGTGACGAACAGAGCGAATCTCTAGCTCTTTCGGAGTCTGCCGGCTTTTAGAGATACGATTAAATTTAAGCTTACTTCGAAGGTAATCGGCGAACGATGAACACTATCTCGGCGTGTTTTCGTCGCCATTAGAAATTTATCGATGCTAGAGCGTCACGAGACGGAAAGGATCGAAGGGCGAATTGCTCGGCAATTACCTCGACGCACAGGACACAACTGATGTATGCCGTAAGATACTTCGTATTTAAGGGAAAGAAGAGGTATAAACATGTATTCGAACCCGTAGTTATAGGTAGACACTTACGTAACGTTATTGTTAATCGCGTCCAATATATGTATTGAGTTAATCGTGGATTGATCGACGTGAATGATAAACGAAAGTGGCGCGTGCAAAAGCAAGGTATTCCCGTTTGGCGGAAATCTTTCTCCGCTGTATTAAAGTAATTTATTTCCAAATCGCCTAATTGTGACAAACATTACCGGAATGCACTCTAACGTTACACAAAGAGATGTAGAATTTCACTGATGAACAATTGCGCAACACAAAGACATTTTCAGATTCGATGTTCCCTGCTTGTTGATTGTCGTGTGAACCTCACGATTCGCATTTTTCCAAATTCTCTGATTAACAAAAATCGCTAGAGGATATCTGTCGGACTCCTGTAACTTGACGCAAATTCACCGCGATGGCAAAACGACGCTCTGGAAATCCGGGCATTCGACGCGCGACGTGCCGCGAGAGAAAAGCTCGCCTTTAATACGGATGCGCGCGACGTTTCCATCGATTCGACGTCGCGTATTTCACGTACAGCGCGAGCAAGCATTTTCTTGGTGGAAACGAATCTTCCTGAATCGCAATCGCGTGGACGGACAAAGCCTCGTACGAACGGCAGCGATTTTTCCTACTGACAGAGAGGCCTGTACGCCTTCCCCTTTATGCAAAGAGACGACTATTATTAATTAATTTTTTTCCCTATTCTGAAATATATATATATATATATAAATGCCATCACGATCGATGAAATTTTGCGCTGCGTATGCTCTGACAATTTCTAATTCACGTTCACGTCAACAGTGACAGGGAGATTTTGTTAGTCACAGCTACGAAGCTTGTGATTTATTTTTAATAACGGAATATTTCATGCAAAACAAATTTTTACTCGTCACGGTATCGTAGTAAATTCTCGTGACAGATATGTGAAAGGTTTAAACATACCTTCCTTTTGCACACCGCTACTCTCGATTTAGGAGCTCGTGTGTTGCGTTGCTCGGTGCCTTCTTGCGGCCTGTTTGTACGCAAACTGCACCATACATTCGTCCAAGCGTTTTACTCGCCGACAAAAGCACCGTTTCCGATAAATGATACCTTAAATTCGTATTTAATCTTTATAAATATCGAAAAGACAATATTTTTATTTTTATTGAACGCACATTAACTGCCTATATTGATTGACATCTACCTTTCAAATACAACTCTCTATAAATGTACTCATAACAATAATCGGGAAATGTAAACATAATAACAAGATTCGTCACGTTACCAACAACTAATGATTTTATCTTCTCGCGTTAACTGTCCCTACAATTTACAGTTTGTACTCGATATGATATAATACTTTGTAACGTCTTTACTACTTCCAAGATTTTACAATTTTCTACAAAGGTGTAGCAGATCGTAAAAAAAAAGTATTCTAATCTGAATTTTCTCAGATTCTATTATCCCACGATAATAGATAATAGAAACACTCCAGAGGAATCCGATATTCATAAAATTGACGCGAAATTATTACGAGAATTTGTATAAGTGAAAAGAAATTTACAAATCCTTCCCTCCTCAACGCCATAATAGATCGGACAGAAACGGCGCGTAATTGAATGTTTAAATGAGCGGACGAACGCGAAGTACATCAGGCGATCACAGTTCCTATTTTGCCCCCATGCATACATTAATAAAGGGCACTACGTATGTATACATTGATATGAATAAGTAAGAAGAAAAGTGGTATAACTATATTTAGGTATTAAGCGAGAGCCGACAAGTATACAATAAGTTTAGATCACTATATCATATTGTAAACGGAGATAGTATACGTCATAGTGAACCGTATATGTATACACGTGTACTCTTTATGATGTGTAGACGCGTAATTAGTGGCGAGAGGCGGAGTTCATTTTTTATAACGATAAAACATCGTGAGTACGACTGATATAATTTCGAGATTCTCGATAAGAGCCGCTCTTTCGCATGCAAGGCGCGCTTTCTAAACATTATCATTCACGATCGTTATTTCTCGCGCATCCACTTTTCGTGGATCCAAACTTGTTTCTGCTCTTTCTTTTGTTGCCATTGTTATCTTTTATGGGGTACATTGTACCCGGCAGTATAGTATTCTAAGTAGATATTTGTATATATACGGTTATATTGTAGAAAAAACATGCTAATTAATAAAATTCATAGAACGTAATTGCGTGCATTTAATTACTCCGGACCTGCCATAACGTCAACTTTGTAATAATATAAATTAATAATAATGAAAAAAGAAAAAAGAAGAGATTAGAATTACCGAATATTTATTTTATTTATAGTACAAATATATATATATATATATATATATATATATTTATGTTTATTGCAAACAATTTACATAAATAATATATATATTTTTTTTTGTTATATAATAAAGAAATATTATTTGATTTATGCTTATCAGTGGCTGAGACTTACCGATAGTCATCGGTAAATTAACTTTTTAGCAAACATACGACTGTAGGTAAAGAAGATTCCTTGTTACGGTCAATGCAAGAATTTCTCTTATGAATTAGTTTATATCATATAAAATGTTTATTCCATTGTATACCGGATTTTATTTTAACCCATAAATTATATGTGCTAATTATAACCTGTTCATAAAATTTGATAAAACAGCTACGAATATATATTTCACATACACTTCCCAATTTCTGTAATACCATTTATCAGTATGTATCTGCATAAACTGTAAACGATAATTTATTGACTTCCGATACAAAAGTCTAAGAGTAACATATTTTTTATTGTTATTGTATGTAATTTTTCTAACTAAATAATTATATTCAAGTATAATATTTAGATATACATTTCATCAAGTAAAATCTGTTAGAAAAAAATTAAATAAGAAAAATGTTTTAGTTTAATGTAATGTGAATTTTACTAACAAATATACTGAGCAAAATGTTATCATTTCGTGCGTTTTTCGTGTGAGCAAAAACCATTATATTTATTTTATTATTTTTTTAGATATAAAATACGTTATAAGAGTAAGAAATAGTGTCACGGTATTATTTGACGATGAAACACATGAATATGTGATAAAAATTATCGCGAACTATGAGTAATTGTCATAAAATTTATGCACTTTGTAACCTTCGACGTACTGATGATATAGTCATTCGTAAAGTGCACGTTTTCTCTCTAGCCATAGTACATCACGTATATGCAAATTTCAGCCCACTTAACCCTTTACGTTAAGGCAGCGAGTCATATTCGTGACGTGTGAGTTAACTACTACCTTTACCAGCGATGTACAATGAGTTTTTCCTACAATAACCTACAAAATAATCACGATTTCACAAATTAATCCTATTTCTCTTTTATTAAAAATTCGTCGAACAAAAATTCGTCGAACTTTTATCTATATTTTTATATTAATTCTTAACAGTATAAGTCATTTTCAACTAAAGCATTTGCTGTCAAAAATTATGTTTAATATTATCGGAAAGTTACTGAGGGAACAGGAAAACGTTCTCCCAAAGTATGTTCCTGGCGCTAGTATTCTATCAGTTGCGAGTTAGCAGGGTTACTTTTCGCACATGCGCAGAAGAGGTTCCAGCGCGATTGCGCGAGAAAATGTCTATCAACCCCTGCAAGAGCGACTTTTGGAAGTTGGAATATTATTTTAAAGATTCTAGGCAAAGTTATTTGGAAGTACAGAGGGATGTTTACTCAAAGTCTTCCAGCTGATATCACACTGTTACGAAGAGTTTGTTTTCATGGAAAAATATCGTTTTATGAGAGTTTTTCTCGCAAACCAAAAATATAATGTCTGAAATATAATAAAACACATACATAACATAAATTTTTTGTCAAATGTCGAACTGACAGTTCTAGAAATTGAAGCGAATAAAAAGAACTGTTGTTTCAATAAAATCGTACCTACACAGAGAGAACGATTTATTGAATCAAATAAATGTTTTTTTGGAATAGTTCAAACAAATTATTTGATTGACACAACAAAAATGTTTCTTTGGAACTAAGCCGCAAATAAATATTTTTGTTGCTTCAAACAAAATTTTGTTTGATCAATCGAAAAATTCGTTTGGACTTTTCCAAAGAAACGTTTATTTGATTCAACCAAATCGTTCTCTCTTCGTGTATATTAAAAGCTCATATTTTTCACAATAAATTAGTACTAAAGAGTTGAATTTATAGTTTAAGAATACCTATGCATTTGTCTTCTAATAAGCTATCAGTTCTTATATGTCTTAATACTTAAAACACTGTTTTCTATATATATATATATATGTGTGTGTGTGTAAAATTTTAGATCGATATCTTAAATAGATTTCAACTACCGATTTTCGTCCGTAAGAAGGGATACTGCGCAATACTGTGTGTCGTGACGTTCGCGTCGCTGGGAATTTACCGCGCGATCCTATCGCGATGGCAATCGGCATCACGGACTTATTCTGGCGAGCAGTGCGCGTGCGATTTTCCACCTGGCTGATTTGTGATGATTTTCACGCTCGACTTCGCCGTCAATCTATCGCGAATAATGAAGAGCCGTTACAAGTTGCCTATACCCGAGGCTGGGCGCAACGGTGTCCCTTTTGTGATGCGCGCACAAAGCGATACGCGCGGCGCTCTTTAGCGATTGTGCACGAGAAAAAAGCGCGGGAAACGCGCGCTTCCACTTTAGAGTACTTGCTAATGAACACGGCGAAACCACGATTCTTCGACTACACGCTAATACGTAAACAAATAATGGACACGTGAACTTGGTCATTGAGACTCGAGAGGACCGATGAGTGGACTGTTTGTTATATAGAGCCAATGCTGTAGAAGTTAACGCAATTGAAGAGAGAATCAGATGAATAAAAACGGAAATACATTAGCTCGAGACATATTATGTTATAACTCACCTTTTATAAATACACCTATATATGTATATAACCAGGATTGGATAAGTTAATTGCTTCTTTTTTACTATATTAGGTTTAAAGTTAATGGCCTATTGATTTAGTTAAGTCAAAAATTACATAAACAAGAACTTTCTAAATAAATTAAATTTAAGTTAAAATAAAATCGACTTTTTACAATTAAGAGTTAATTATGCATACACATAATAATATATATATATATATATATATATATATATATATATATATATATATATATTATAATGTAATATATATTTATACACATTATATATATATATATATATATATATATATATATATATATAATGTGTATAAATATATATTACATTATAATATATATATATATATATATATATATATATATATATATATATATATATTATTATGTGTATGCATAATTAACTCTTAATTGTAAAAAGTCGATTTTATTTTATTTTTATAGGAAAATACCAACTGTTTTGTAATTAGGATTTTATTAAAAAAAAAACGCTCTCTGAGAGGAAAAAAATTCTACTGACTTCTTATTCCTTATATTTCTTATTTTATATTTAAGTAGTCCAGAATGATCTTAATATTGATGTGTTATTTTAAATATATAAATCATTAATAAGTTAATGCATTTTCGCTAACTAGTTTAAGTTCAAAGTTAACCTATTTAGAATAAACTAATTTATTAACTTTTAACTGATTCACTAATGATTACTCAACTCTGTATAAAAGCCTTCAATTTTGTTATCAACAAATCGCGTATCCTCTTAAGAGATAATGAAATACTTATTGCAGCAGTAGCTATAATCTTTTATATTTTGGTGACGATAATTTAATGTTACACGCAAGCTAAAATGTATGTGCATCTTTGTACCAGCTGAATTAATCCGAGTCGTGAAAATTGACCGACGCGGCTTTTTTTGGAAAAGATACGTGTGATTTGATCGCGTCGGTAAAAATAACGTCATTATATCAGTACCGAAATAAATAATGGGCGTTATTTGTTATACCGTGGCTGCCGAAGAAAACGCGAGGGAGAGGAGGAGAGTGCATTTTCGGGTCGACACAATAGCTCGTTATTCGTACCCACCGAGTTTGCTTTGAACTGGCGGCGCATCGTCAATACGAGACCATTAACGAACACGTGTGTACACATGTGCACTGTACTTATCTGGTCGATGCTCGTCGATGCATCTTCACGTGCCCCTTGTGTTGTGTAAAAAGTGTCCATTAGTCGCGTAATATAGTGAAGAGATTTTCGAGGCTGATATTTATCGCGGTGAGGCCCCTCTCGCGGAACTCGCCGATGCAATTCCGACCCGAATCGCAATCAAGCGTGACTGATCAGGGCACTTGAAAAATGGAAAAAAAGTCACGCGAGGTTTCTAGGTTTCGCGATACGAGCGGAATGAATGGCAACAGGAAAGAGCACTTAAGCAACTGCGCGATAAATCACGAACGAATACGAGAATTTTAATTGCACCGGTTAAAATTGGAAATATATACAGATATGAATTTAAGCAAATGGGATATCTCACGGCACATTTGTAAAGCTCCTCGTCAAACTTCGACTTACATGAGCTGAAAGTACTTGGCATCGAACTCATGTTACTCATGTACTCATGATTTTACACGATGCAAACTCCAGGAACCGCCTCGACTGATAAAACATTCATCCTTGCCGGACACACTCGAGCATGCGGAATTTCTTTTTCACGCTGTGTGATCGCGGAACGAGTCGACGGAAGAAGAAGAAAAATTATATATATATATACAAAAATAGGTCGACGGCCGCGTCGGTGTCATGGCTGACCGGCATCCGCGTAATTACCGGTGACGACACGTTTCCGCATCGAACAAAGGCATCCCGATGCGTTTCGCCGGCGAGGGTACCTTTCTCGACGAAAGCGCGGCGTTTTCTCGGAAAGCGCATAAAGGAAATAACGGCGCGTAATTACCGGGGCGTAATCGGAAGTTTACGAAATTAGCCGGGGGGCCTGCCCTTTCTTCCCTTGCGCCCGGCGAGAATCGCACCTCACGTGGCGGTGAGTCAGACGAGACGTGAAAAATGGTGCGCCTCTTTCGCTTCCGTTTGCTGTCGCTATTACGGTAATGCGTTCCTCGGGAGCCGGTTATTGCCGCGCGATGCGCATCGTGCAGTTCCGGATGTGCTTGCGCGACAAATTGTGCGATTAGTGTATCTTTGTCTGGTAAAAATCGCACAAATTGCCAGACTAATAGTACAAAATGCTGTACAGACAGTACAAACTGTAGTTCAAAT